CACACACACACACACACACTCCCAAAACACACACTTCCAAAACACACACTTCCAAAACACACACTCCCAAAACACACACTTCCAAAACACACACTCCCAAAACACACACATATGCCACACACACTACAGACACAACACACCATAAACACTCATCACATATACACACCCATACTACACTGTACACACCCATACATGGCAGATTTACATCCTCACATCCACCCATACCATATTACTGACCTCAATTTCTCTAAACCTGTACTAAAAATAATAGTAGCATCAACTGAAGGAGCAGTTGTGAATCGCTAAGGTTGGGTAAAAGCTGCCAGTGACATGTAGTATATGCCAGAGGTACTCAATAAACGCTAACCGTTGACTTTAATGATTCATACAGAATGTGCCCTCCTGTGCGGTGCTGCATCAGAACTGGTCTCTCTGCCTAAAGTTGGACAGCTGAAAGGGGGTGGGGAAAGGATGACATTCTAGCTTTCAGGTTACCACATTGGATGTTTGGGCATTTCTCCTAGAAGGCCAGAAATATTTCATAAGATGAATGAAATATTTCTCTATAATATCATTGCATATCTATCAGGCTGACCAGTCAGAGCTTCTCCTTATGCTTCTGATCCCTTTTTCGTTTACATTCTACTAAGTACTTAAAGATAAGTGGCATTTCCCCTCCATTTGATTTGTTGTAAGAGTGTCTAATGCTTTGCTTTGATTAATCTCTTGTTGTTGTTTACTCTGGCTTATTTTTTTTCCAAATTAAGTTTGAAAATTAGTAAAACTGGGGCTTGAAGAAATAGAACATATCTTTAGAGTACTTGCTGCATGCACCTCCAGAGGACCTAAGTGCAGTTCCCCTAATCATGTCTGGCAGCTCGCAAAGGCCCGTGATTCCAGATCCGAGGGATTCAGTGTCCTTGGTCTGACCTCCATGGGTACCTTCATGCAGATGATTGTCTCTCATACATATACATAATTTTTTAAAAATCTTTTTAAAAGTCATAATAACTTAACTGAGTGAAGAGAGGGAGAGACAGGGAGAGAACCGAGTTGTTAGCTTTGGTTTTAATCTTGGAGTTGGAAGGCAGTCACAAAATGACTATTTCAATATATTGCCTAAATTCACTCATAACTAACCATTATGAATTATTTTAGGAGACTTTCAGATTCAATTAGCATACCCTGCTCAGAGATAAAAGGAGGTATATAATTCAGCTGTATGCTGTGTCTGAATTTTCATTTCCAAATATAGGCAGATTCTAGATGAAACTCGGAATGCAAAGCTTCTGGTTTCACAGATTAAAATTCTACCAATGATTTGAAGTATAAATGTTGATTCATTGTTGTACAAATAAAAGTATGATCGTGAAAGCTGTTAATTTCATTCACCCAAACACTAATGAGGGCCTTTCAAACCGTGAAACGAGCAGGGCAGCATATTGACAGATAATACAAATGTTTAGATTAAGTAAGGGACTGGTGCTTGTGTCAATGCTTCTTAGACTCTAATCTTGCTCCCAAAGTGGTGTGTGAGTGTCGGGGTGGGGGTAGGGAATACCAAAGCTCATATTCTGATTCAGTGAGTTTGGTCCTCAGATTCTTTTATGTCTTGTAAGTTCTCAGGTAGAGACTATGTTGGAAAATATTAAATCTGGATTGTGAAAATACATAACCAATATGAAGTCCAGAATATAATCCTATAGCCTAAAAGAGGATTAGTCTGAATTTCCTGGGTGAATTTGTTTTAATTGCAAGTTACTTAAATGGAGAGGACATCAATGAGTCAGGGTGACATTGTTGGCTTTGAAGATAGTGGCAGAATTAGGGAACCTAAACATTAGTAAGCTTTAGAAGTGGGAATAGCAAAATGACAGATTTTTTTTCCTGAAAGTGTCCAGAAAGATATTCTGATGTCTCATTTTAGCCAGTGATGCCTCATTTCAGACTTTGAAAGTCCAAAACTATAAGAAAATTAATTTGTGTTGTTTTAAACCTCCAAATTTGTGTTCATTTGTTTGCAGTAGCTTTAGAAAACCACGATGATTGTCATTCACTGAATACCTTTTAACTTGTGGCCATGCCCTATACCCGCAGAATGTACACAGCTGACCTGTCACCATTTTTAGATCCATGTTCTTAGTGATTCATTGCCCACTCAACACAACGTACCATTTAATGCCTCCATATGAGAATGAGTAGTTGCTGCTTTTTAATATATATTCTAACAGATGTTGCCACACAATTAATTATGACATTTTATTTAGTTGGGCCAGATTAGTAACAATCAATGACTTATGATTTTACCCACAAGGAAACTAGGGAATGCATGTGAGAATATCATGAAGTTTTCCTTTTATTATGTTTATACTTTTAAATGGATTTATGTAAGGACAATAAAGCAATAACGCAAGTCATAAATAGACCACAGGAAACACTGGCGGATTGGGGGATCTTCTGCAACCCTTCCTTCTACAGAATTTATACTCTCTCCATTCTGTGTTGATTGGACTACCCATGAAAATGTTTGAGATGCTAAGTGCTGATTGATTTAAAGGTTTATCCATCACTACACTTGAAGATCATTGAACAAGTTCTTAGAATGTTAACATTAAGTAAGTGAAAGGAAGACCTATCATCAGAAAACAAAATTTAGTCTTGTGATGGGCCCATTCTCATAATCAGGAGCGAAGGGAATGGTTTTAGGATTTCAAGAAACACTGGTTCATATGAAAATCAGTGAGTTCATCCACTGACAGGCTAGTCTCTAGAAGACATACCCATCTTAATTATTGTTTCGATGGAAAGCTCAAATGAAGGACATTGGCCACAGGTTACATATCCTCAGTTTATCCTGGCATAATTATCAAAGATTTGCCCTAGTCTTTGGACAATGCCCTGAACCAATGACAAATGGCCATATCAATATTTCTCATCTTTGACACATTTAGTTTATGAAACCATATCTTCTATAATGTATTGCTTTTCACTAAAAGTTACTCACTCTGTTTCACAGACCAAAACGCTGACACTTTTCCTTCTGACTGGCAAAGGGTCTCCTCCACTCTAATACTGAGGATATGAATGTGACTGCCTTTGTCTTCTGTTTGTTACTTCTTTTTTGACTCATAGTTCCTTTATGGAGCCATTATTCTGTTTCAGACACCAACTCACTACTGTTCCAGAGTGATTACAATGCACACACTTTGCTTGGCTTACATTATCTCTTTCTTGTTGGGGACGACTCAAGTATAAAAGCAGTGTAGGATAGAATATAATACAATGGCTAACAGTCCTTTAAAACAATAGACATACTAATGTGCATTCAGGAAAGTCTAGGAGGCCCCAACCCTACACAAAAGTACAGGCATCTAAAGAATTTTGAGAGAGGGAGAAATGATCTTCCCCAGTGAAAGGCACAACAATTGGCTTGCCAATACCAAATGGTCAACACCAAAACATACATACAAGAGTTCTTATATAGACTGAATATTTTATCTTTAGCTCTCCATAGAACAAAAATATTATATATACATATATATATATGTGTGTGTGTGTGTGTGTGTGTGTGTGTGTGTGTGTGTGTGTATGTATGTATAGAGAGAGAGAGAAAAAGAGAGAGTTACACATCATTAAAAGTAGAATAAATCTTTTAAAATGCTCCCAGCTTATTGGTAGAAATACATGATGTTTATTAGTAAGATGATGAGGAATCCACTACTCTTTTAAGATATACTCCTTTGCTGATAAAACAATTTTAAAAAGCACACTTTCAACTTGTCCCATAATTTTAAATACCATTGTAGTTAGCTTTGAAAATCATACACAGGGACAAAGATTCTATTCCTAGAACTGTAGAAATCACTCTGTCCATGCTGTTAAAAATCTCAATGTAATTAAACCCAAAAAGGAACAGAGAAACATCTTAACCCAGAGGTCTGCTAAACAAGATGGACTCTTGTCAAGTTCCACAAGCATGAGTGTGTTTAGCTAATAATAATTATGATGGAGCATATGACTTAATTATGCCATATGCCATTTTATTGGCCCCAAGAGTGCATTTGTAAATACACAGAGTTAAATTCAATTCATTTTCATGTTAATGAAGACCAAAGGTCATATGCCAGGCAGGTAGAAAAAAAGATACTGTTCAATGAAACATTTGCTTTTCTTTATTAAAGGCCACAAGAGAGGTACAAGCCTTTCATAACCAGATGGGTTCACTGTGACAAGACTACTCATATACTTTGTTTTGTACCACAAAAGTTTTTGATGAGACAGAAATAATTTGGAATGATTCCTAAGAAAATTTTGATAATTGACTTGACCCTTAACTCTTTCTTTTTCCTTAGTTACTTGGTTATTGTTAAAACAGAATTAATTTTCCTGATTTATAAGAACAGATAAAAACAATACAAATATCAAAGGAAATTCAGTTAAAGATGTGTTTAAGAAAGTATATGTAAATTAAACATTTTCTGTAGCTTTGAGATTTCAGAATGTCTGTCAGACTATGTAGTTCAGATTATTATTTTTATAAAGCCAGTGTTACTAGGTGTCTAGTACATTTATTTAGAAAAGATTGAAGAGTTTTTATTTTAGTTTTAATAGGATAAAAAAAGTCTTAGTTTTGTTTGAGTCAATTTAGAAATAATGGGACTTGAAAATCTTTTTATACATTTTACACACCAACCACGGTTTCTCCACCATCCCCTCCTCCCTTTCTCCCCCGCCCACTTCCCCCTTACTTGCCCCCGCCCCATCCACTTCTCAGAAAGCATAAAGCCTCCCCTGGGGACTCAACAAGCCTGACATATTAAGATGAGTCAGGATCAAGACCCTTCCTCCTGCTTCAAGGCTGAGCAAGGCATCCACCATAGGGAATTGGCTCCAATAATGGGAATTTTGCTTGGAATGTAGATTTCTGAATGCCAGTTCACACACACACACACAAAAAGAAATCCTAGTATGTCCTGTGTTCCCCTAGAGATGAATTTTACCTGTCGTATTGAAGTTTTGTTAGGCAGGTGCTCAGAGGAGTGTTTCAGCTCCTCTGTCCCACCTTTAGCATCTGCAAATTAAAATTCATGAAATATATTTTAGTTCACTGAAATATAAATGTCTAATTCCTCCTGAATATTTTAGTCAAGAATCTTTAACATATTTATTAGCTTATACTGAACTTTAAATCTACTTCTTTTCATTAAGACAAGCATGGAGAGAATGAACAGCCATGCCTTTCTCCTACATGGATGGCATGCTCTGATTGAGTCCTATTATCGAGTGTTTCGTTGATATTCTGTGCTTGTAGTTCACAAACCCATACTTAGTATCTTCCAAGTTCTCTTTATATGGCTCCAGACATAGCCACATTACTTGGTGGATACTTAGAGCCAAACTCAAATCCTCATGTCTATACAGCAAGCATTCTTCTCCCCAGGCAATCTCTCCACTTCCATACTTTTACCACTTACCTTACTCAGTTAAAAATGTGGGAAAATTTCCCGCCACACATTATAAGTAAATGTTGTAATTCAATATCAGCATTAATTAGAAATATAAATTTCCAGCCATGTTAAATTCTAATTAGAAGTATGCATTTATGTCATGTAAAATGTAATAGCTAATGAAACTTGAGACTATTAATGTTTATTATATACATACTTGATAAAAGTATATCACAAGCTTATTTTTAAAATTTATTTCCTTTGATTTTCTGTTGCACATATGTTTCTGCAGATATTTAAAGGTAAATACACAAGAAAGCAGTTAATAATAAACTTAGGAAGAAACTAAATATGTAAGTCATAACAGGTTTAAATTTTGGATTTGAAATATTAAATAATGCTCCTCTTTCTTCACATTTTAAACTTTTGTTGAGTGTTCTTTTACTGTCTTCCCCTTGCTTCCACCATCATCCTGACAACTTCTTTCATCTTTCTTCTGTTACCTGATAAGTTTTACTTATTTCCTCATGACATATGCTAGCCCAGACTTGAAGACTCCAGCCTCCAATTTTAGTATCTAAATAAATGTCTCTGTAATGGGTAATGTTGTGTATGGGTCAAAGGAGACGCATGTCTGCCATCCATCTTCCTGATCACATTAGGTCATATTCTTCCAGGCCATGTCTAAAGAAATGTGATTCCCATAAGCCGTACTGAAATCCCTGACTTTGCAAATACAAATGACCTGAATCAGAGCATAACCAGAATACAAGACAGGAGAAGTATTGTCAGTAATTGTGAGTTCAGTGAGATCAAAATTTCATTTAGAATCTCCACAAATAGATTCACTTGGTATATGTATTTTTTAAAAAATGTATTTCTTGTTCCAGTAGCATTTGATATATAGTCTACATATATTGAAGTAGTCTTATATTGTTTCATCTAGCTCATCTTAATAATAGATATATATTTGGAGATTATAATTATCTGGTTGCTATTCATCATGATCTGTAGCAAGAGATTCAAGTTCAAATAAACCACTAGGAGTAGACATGTAACATGCATGATGAGACAGGTCTTGGGAGAAATGAGCAAGTATCAATAAGTAAATAGGAGAAGTTGAGTCTTGTTGAGTCCATTGCCTGACTTCAGCTCACAGTATAATAAGTGTGCTAGTTAGATTTCTATTATGGGACCAAATAAGGGAAAAAATCCACTTAAATGTGGAAACATATTTTGATCTACAGTTTTAGAGATCAGCTAATTCTATTGTTTGGAGCCTTCCCAATGTAGAGCACCATAGTAGAAACACTAGTCTTCAGTGGCCTCCTTCCTTCAACTAGGCCCCTTCTCCTATAAACTCATCAATGAAATGGCATGCTGTAAGGTTAGACCTCTTGATTTAATCACATACCTCAATAGAATCAGCAGCTGGGGACCAAAACTTAGAAACATGAACTTTTAAAAACATTTTGTTTTCGTGTGTGTGTGTGTGTGTGTGTGTGTGTGTGTGTGTGTTACCTATGTCTGTATGTGCTTATGTGGACACAGACATCCATGCATGAAGAGGTCAGAAGTTGATGGTAGGTATCTTTCTTTCACTCTCCACATTATTTTATGGGCTATATTTTATCACTGAGCTGGAGCTTGCTGATTGGCTAGACCTCCTGGCCAGCAAGCACCAGAAATCTGTCTTCCCAGCACTGGGATTATGCTACTAAATTTGTCTTTTCATGTGCATGTTGGGGATCTGAACTCAATTCCTCATGCAGATTTTAGTATGTGATCTCCAAACAAACCCTGAAGCCTCACACCTGCATCTCACCATACTTTGACTTGAATTTAGCTATTGCCACAGGGTGCAAATTGGTAGAGTTTGCTTTCAGTGTTGAAGTAGAAGATAAAACTCAGGCTCACTGCCATCTCTGGAATTTGGGATTATTTTTCAGCAAACTATTTAGTGGCACACAAATTGTAGAAGTAATTCTGTCAAACCGAATAGGTTATCCATCAATCAATGGTGTTACTTTCACATATTTGCAATGTTGACATATTTCTGATAAGCACTTTAACTGTGAATCATGTGGTCTTTTATTCAGAGTTGTTTCTTTAGAGAAAAAACTATCATGTTCAGCTTTGTCTGTAGCAGTGAACCTGCTTTCCCTCCTCTTTCCCTCCTCCTCCTCCATTCTACCTCCTACTCCCATATCAAGATGTAATTTACCAGCAATTCCTGCCTCTCTGCCTTACTCTGCCATCATGGACTCTAGCCCTCTGTAACTGTAAAGCAAAGTTAAACATTCTCTTTCATAAGTTGCCTTTGTCATAGTGTTTTTTTCACAGCAGTAGATAAGTAACTAAGACAGACACCTCGAGTGCCCTATCTAATTAAATTTGTGGCAAGAGGACAGAATGAATTGGTTCCTAAAATGTAGTGTAAGCAGAGGTACTTTGCCCAAAGTCTCTGTTATGGAAGATTTGTCCTCTTTAATTCCTTAAATCTGAAATGTCTCACCTAGCTCGTGTATTTGAATTAGTCCCCAGGACTACATTAGAGTTCTGTCCCGTTGCCCACCCATCACTGCTTCTGTTCCACTCCTTTTGCCCACAGTGGTCCTAGAGACATTCTCTGATCAACATCTCACTTATCTTCCAGACTCTGATGTGTAGCTTGATGTCACAACTTATCATCATCCATCTTTTGGGAAATATAGAAAGACTGTGAGACAAGCTGCAGAGAAGGAAGAAAATATCCTATAGATGAAGTATGGGAATAGGAATGTTTTTAGGGCTGGGGATGGTAGAATAAATGATAGGAGAGTCCTGATGATAAGCTGATGAGGAATATGACAACTTCATTTGAGCTGGAAGCAGGTGAATCATGAAGTGGCTTCATCAAAACTCATTTGTGGTCACGGTTCCATTATGGAGGCTTCTCCATCCACCATTGCTGGTCCTTTTGATTAAGAACAAGGCAAATACTTATTAATGTGGAGTTTCTGATTCTGGTAAATGAGTTGACTATGAGAAAGAGATTGTTGTGCCATAGTACACTGTATGCTTCTTAAGTGATTCTGACAGGTTAGGAGTGGTGTGTGACACCATGTACAGATGTCTCTGGGCTTACAAAGGAAACAGGTGACCAATGAGAATGCATTGGGAGTAGGGGACCTCGACTGCTGTCATGCATGGTACACGTCCTGTCCTCTCTTGGCTGATTACACATTGAAGTGCTATGTACTATCCCTTGAGGTAATATTTACATGTTTATGAAGAAAATTTGGCATAAGATGAAGCTTTTATAAAATTATTGATTTTGATTTTAGTGTGGTGTGTGTGTGTGTGTGTATGTGTGTGTGTGTGTGTGTGTGTGGAGTGTGTGATGGTAGTTATATTCATATGTGTGCATGTATGCTTGCCTATGTGCAAGCCAGAGGACAGCATCTGGAATTTTCCCGTATTTGTCTTTGCCTTATTTGTTGAGGATCTCTAGCAGGACCTGGAGATTGCCATTTTAGCTAAACTGGTTGGGTATAAACCCCAGGGATCCCTCTCCCCTAGGTTACAGATGCTCTGTCATTCCCAGGGTTTTGTGGATATTAGGGATCTGAACTCAGTTGCTCATGCTTTCCTGGCAAGCTTGTTACCCAGTCACCTATCTCTTCAGTCTCCCTTTTATGACAGTGTCATACTATGTAGCTAGACTGGCCTTAACTGACTCTTGACAGTAGTCCAGGCTAGCATTTTCAGACTTTATTCCCTGGCCTCATCCTTACTGAATGCTGGAATTTCTCTCTTGGGTTAGACTTGTGAATTATTTATAATTCCTAGTGTTTTCTTGCTCTTCATATATTCTAAAATGTCTTTCTGTGTCATGGAGTACATAACCCAAAACAAAAACAAAAACATGTCTGATGTTCCATGAGTACATTACAAAGAACAAATATCTGAACATTTTCCTATCACAATCAGTAAAGTCACTTTACTTTTCCACATTCCTATATTCCTGCCCTTTGTTGAGTTTCTATAATGTTCTATTCTCTAACATTCACTAATACCTTATGCACAAAATAACTACACTCTTAAGAAGCAATCAGCAGGCTTATTAAAACTCACCTATAATGGAAGGAACCAAATTGTTCATTAATCTACATTGCAAATAGTGGCCTGGTGGCCTAAACTACCTTGTACTTTGTCTATTATACAACACCAAACAGAAAAAAGTCTATATACAGCCTTTCTATATTTCTTCCAAATATACTACTTCCCTAAAACACTGTTCCTTTAAACGTTTGCAAAAGATTTATGCCTCCTTGTCATATGCTACGTTTTTATTTCCCTATTCATTTTAGAAAAGGGCTGTGCATAGATTCTTTATTTTGCTCATTTTGTGTGTGAGTGGGGAGGGTAGCATGAACACCAGGACATCAGGTGAAAATCACCCCTCCACCTTTTATCCTTAAGATTAAGAAAATGAGAATTTGACAACTACGTAGAGGATTAAGAGATGACTTGGGTAAAATACTAATAGAGAACAGGAAATGTTTGAATTCTTTTACTTCCAGCATCCTGTGTCATGCTTCAAACCCCAGGTGTGAGTCTTGTTCTGCTCCCCATTGTGAAACTGATTAGGAGTTATGCCAAGTGAGGGATGGAGGCAGCAGGAGTTGCTTTAAGGATTCTCCTGTTTAAAATGGTATTTAGCACTAACATATATATTTAAAAATTAAAACAGAGAGAACCTCAGAAGAATCAAAGCTTGAAGGATGAAGAATTTGTCTAGATGGTGTCTCAACAATTCTGATTCCTCCAGATATTCTAATCTTTTATGCTATGAAGATATTTTTTTTGTTTGGTATCAGCAAAACGTTGCTTAGACAATCTACTTGGCTAGGTTGTTATCTCCATTGCCTTTTTTCTTGCCTGAAATACCCTTCCACTAATTTTTTAATACCTCTGAAGAGATTGTCAAAGAGGCCTTCCTGCCTTTCAATAAGATTTTTTTTTATGGGCCAATCAGTCAGTAAAGTATTTATTGGCTTTCAATTCATATGCACATAGCGTGCATGCTGGGCTCTGTGACTCGGGAATATAAAATAATGTCATTCAAATTTAGTAATTAAAGAAAAAGTAAT